GCAGGAATGAGCATCGGGTGGAATGGAATGGGGACCCCGGCCCCTGCTTTTATTTTTGCCTCCCAAATCCACTCCTATACCTACATATTCCGAGTCAGAAAATTCCTGTTAATTCATTAAGAAAAAATATATATATAGCTATATTATTAATATTTAAATAAATTGTATTAAATTAAATATAGAATTCAATATAATATTAATATCTCATAAAGACAAACTAAGGGCTCAAACTCTAAAAATAACTAATCAAATCTCAAAATCATAAGAAATCAAATTCTAAAAATTCAACCCAAGATGTAAATAATAAATTAAAGTCTTTAAAGTAAAACATTAAAAACAATAAGAATGTTTTTTTTTTTTTTTTCTAAACAAACGATAAGAAAGTTATTATTCTAATTTGTTTATCTCCTAAAGATCTCAAGAGTACAGGCATATGCCGTATAGGTTAGATTTAGGTTAAACAAAGCTCTATTAATAATAAGAATTTAGAAATCACTAAGGTTTTTTAAGATGGTAAAATATAGTAAAGTTTTTTTTAAATTTTTTTGATCCCATATTTTTTAAGTACTATTATAATTAATATATAACATATATGTGTATATAAAATATTTTTAAAAATATATGTGTATATATATCGGGACGGAGGCGGATTGGGGTACTTCCTCTGCCCCCACCCTGCCCCTATTTCATATCCGCCTCATTCCCATTTAATAATCCCCATACCCAAGTTATTCAGCAGCTTTTAAAAACTGTTGTTAAATATCATAATATGAGAAGGTAAGGATTGCTTTTGCACAATAGTTTTGCTGTTATTGTCCAATTTTTTTAAAATAGCCTTAATAATAATACTTAATTATCAATCTACCAATTTTATTTTTTAATAAAAAATGAAAAAAAATGTAATTTTAATAAATATAATATGCTACATTTTACTTAAATTAAAAAGCGTAAAAATTGTTTAAAAATATCTACAATAAATAAGAAATATAGTAGATGTATAACTTATCTTCTTGAATAAAAATAATTTATTTCAGGAATATTTTAGATAATAAAATTAAAATTATACATATTTTTCAGTAGTTTCAGTGTAAAAATGTTATGAATATTTTGGTTTAGAAGCTACAACATATTAGAGTGTTTAAATTATGCTTTTTTTCAACAGCTTTTAAAAATTGTTGTTAAACATCATAATTTGAGAAGCAGATAAGGATTGCTTTTGCACAACAGTTTTGCTATCATTGTCCAAAAATTTTTAAAATAGCCTTAATAATAATACTTAATTATCAATCTACCAATTTTATTTTTTCATAAAAAATGAAAAAAAAAAACATATTTTTAAACATTAATTCAAAAATTGACAATTTTTAATAAATATAATATGCTACATTTTACTTAAATTAATAAGCGTAAAAATTGTTTAAAATTATCTACAATAAATAAGAAATATAGTAGATGTATAACTTATCTTCTTGTATAAAAATAATTTATTTCAAGAATATTTTAGATAATAAAATTAAAATTATATATTTTTTAGTAGTTTCAGTGTAAAAATGTTGTGAATATTTTGGTGTAGAAATAAAACTAACTATAAATATGTGTGCTAAAGTGTGCATGTTTTAGTCATTTTGTATCTTCAAGCAATTTTGTACATAATTTACGAAACACCTAAATTTCTATTTCTAATATTCATAACTTTGAGAAAAAAAAATACTAAATACTTACATACTTCTAGTCACAACATTTGACTAACAACACAACTACGGTAAAAATTTTCAACAGCACAACAATAACAAACAAGCTTTAAGTTACCTAAGGTCATTATGATAATTTTTAGGATTAATTTCAAAAATTTCCTTCTGAATTATGACTATTTTAACAGTTTGCCCCTGAATTTTAAAAAGTAACATCCTTTCCTCCCTAATTTTGTTCCGTTAACAAGTTTTCTCCTTCTATTAGAATGATTGACGGAAATCACCACGAGTCACTTATTTGGTGGTGCAAGCAGATAGGTCAAATAAGTGACACATGGCGATTTCCGTCACTCATTTTAACAGAAGGGAAAAACTTGTTAATAAAACAAAGTTCAGAACGAACGGATATTATTTTTTAAAATTTATGGGGCAAAGTGTTAAAATAGTCATGATTCAGGGAGAATTTTTAAAATTAATCCTAATTTTTAAATTAAAAATAGATACAATCAAATTCAAATTATTGCTAAAATAGAATCAATTACAAAAGTCAACTTTTACTAATACCAATTTGGCGATATGCTACTATATTTGTAGTCTAGCATTTCACACGAAATAAATTTTCCGTTGGAACTTTCTTTTATGGCTTGAGATTTTTTTTCCATGATTACAGGATAGTTTAATGATGAATTCACACTCATACTTTCAACGTATAAGTCTAGAAGTTAGAATTTGAAATCCTCCAATTCACCTTGAAAAATATAATAATAATAATAATAATAATAATGCTCGAGATTTTTTCAGTGGCTTAGAGGCGTTCTTTAGGATGATGACTAAACCACTAATTTGGGACGTGTATCACTATCAAAACATTAATGATACAGTGCTTTGATGTTGCACTTAACATTTGTTAACACGTCGTTGTGATGCTTGCAAAGTTATTTTTCAAACCTTCGAGATACATAACGTTTGGCCACAAATTCTACAAGCTAGATTAGATGCCATTTATGCATAATTAATTTATGGTACCATACTGTACATTTTTAAACATTAAATTTGATCAAAATTACATCAAACTAAAACGATATCAATCGACCGACAGTGAGCCAAATCCGCGTTTTCAAACAATGAATCTAATTCAAACTCTCTCAGAAAGCTCGTGGTTCCGGAACCGGCTGCCGTAAGCCAACCCATATCGTTATTCGCGGTATCAGTTCCTACGCTCCCTACCGGTTAAGCCAGTAACCTCTTCCTTCGATCTTCCTCCAGATTCTCTTTCTGTTGAGGCAACATCTTCGAACCTCTCCCGACTCCACTGATGACTATCTCCTAACGCCTCGTCCCTCTCCTTGACGTATTTCCGGTTCCCTACATTAGTCAATATTCGATTCTAAAACATAATATAAATCTAACGATTTAATTAAATATAACCGTACGGGGTTTTTTTTAATATCCTACAAAATTCTCATAATTAATAATACCAGTTGGTGTGTATTATTTTTAGGTTGGACCAAAGCAACTGGAGACCATGATTTTTGCAGCCCTCCAAAAAAAAAAAAAAAGGAGTCAAGTCCATGATTCCAATTAGTGCAGCGTCATTAAGCAGTTGGGTGTTCTAGACTTTGAAAAGTCAAATTCAACGTTGTAAAGCTTAATTTTAGAGGTGGCCAGGAATCTGTGATGAAAATATAGGTAGATCTAACGAGTAATATGCTCTAATGAAAATGATCTCAGGTGTTTTTGACAACTTGTATTAATATACTCTCGTAAAAAATAAAAAATAAAAAGCCATGTATTTATATATGTATGTAAATTACATCCATGGTAGAGCAAGATTGATAATTACCATGTCTCTCTGTTTTATCTTTTTTTTTTTAAGATTCTGGGTTTAGAAAGAGAATTTCTGTTATGGCCATCAGTGACATGTTGCATGTGTGAATTGAGCGCTTCGAGGAGTATAAAAATCAAATTGGTAAGCAGTCGATTGTGAGAATTAAAAAAATTGTTCTGTCAACTTTTATATGTTGACATTTGGTTTTTCAAAAAGACATGATAATAATGTATGGTAGAAATTTTACATGACGAGTAGTGTTTTGTCTGAATGAAAAAAATAAAAAATAATAATAATAATAACAATGAAAGGTATGAATAACGTCCACGACGGGAACGGGGCACGTTAAATAGGAGCAGAAAGAAAGATATCCCAATTATTACACCAAACCATAAAATGTTGAATCTTATATGTTCGGCTCTTTATAAATCAACCCACCCTAAATATTGGTACGAAGAGATTAAAAAATCTTAAAAACCACAACCCAACTTATGTTCAGCCCTAGCTACAATTTTTTTAGGCAATATGTGAAGCAATAAAGCATAGAGAAATCGTAGTAAATAGTAAATTTATAAAACAAAATTAAGTAAATAGTATATTTTAAAATTATTTGGAGTAAATACCATTTTACAATTTTTTATGTAAAATTTGTTTATTTATATATGTGTTTGTCTATAGTCCCGTCAGCATAATATGTAAAAGTAAAAACGTAACAAGACATTTATTTAACGTAACATCGATATTAAAAATGTGAGACACCAAGATATTTAATTATCTTCAACTATTATTACATCTTTCTAGCATCCGTATAATAACTAAATTAAAGTGTAGCAATATATGGTACGAGATAGTTAAATTTCTTGGTGTTGTGTCTTTCTAGTATTCGTGTAATGTTAAATAACTGCCATGTTATGTTAAATAAATGTTATTTTTAATTTTTACTTCTACATGTTATGTTGATGAAACCATAGACAAGGCTATTATATATTCCTTTTTATTTTTATCCTATTCTAAGATATGTGAAAAAAATATTTCCCTATATAATAGTTAACACGTGTTATTAGGGCACTTAGCATAAAGACAATCTCACTATACGCTTTGTTCTAGGCCCTATAATGTTCTGCCATTTCACTAATTCGCGCGTTTTGTTACGGCGCTTTGCACGCATTCTACAAGCTCATTAAATAAAACATCATTGTTTTCTTAGTCACTTATTTTGAGCTATTTTGCGTTACTTAAAGGCAATTCTGTTATTTAATTATGACACGTTATCAGTTATTATCGGGGTTAGGGCGTTGTCGGGATTTATTCTTTGAGAGGAGGAAACGGGCCGGCTTATGTTCGCCGATGATATTTTCATTTTCTGTCGGGCTAATCCCATTGAGTTTGAGGCTTTAGTGGAATGTCTGTATGAATTGTGGTTGGGCTTAGGTCAGAAAGTGAGTGTGCAGAAATCAGGATTGGTTTTCTCTGAAAATTGTTCCGAGGCAAATTATGGGTGCCTTAGTACAAGTCTTGGGGTATTGACTGTGTTAGGGAAATGTATTAAATATTATTGGCAATCCTCTATTTCTTAAGTAAGAACATGACAAGGGACTTTAGTGTGTTATGGGTAGAATGGAAGGGTGGATGGCCAAGCGTCCTTTAATCGAGTGTGCAAGGGTGGATGGTCTATCTCTATTTCGACTGTGGTTGTAAGTATTGCGACCTTTTTGGATGGGTAGCCCGTAGCTATGTATAAGTCGGTCCCTTACGATTAATAAGGAGTCGACTATGCCGTATATGATGGAATTAGTGGGGCTATTGGGTCTGCTCTTTGCTGCATTTAGGCTGTCCAATTCCAAACCCAACAATGTATTTACAATCTATTGGAGAACCTAATCCACTCCTAAATTTCATGCGTTTCAAAATACAGTAAAACCACGGCTCTAACTATAGTTTTACTCACAATTCTAACACTAAAAAGACATTTAGTTGATAGATTCAGAATCATAATTCAGAACTATTCTTGATTTACGTATGTTTTTTGTGAGAAAAAATACTGTAGCGAGCCACGAATCATGATTCGAACTATGTCACGAATTCTTGAACCAAACGGACCCTAAGTAAATAACAGTTTAAATTTTATTTTATGTTTAGACTTCATACTTTTAAACTCCAAATACTAATTTGAATCAGAGTAAAATTCATACAAATTTAAAAATTTTAATGCAAACTCAAAAAATTTAAAACCACACGATTCAAATTAAAAGAGTAACGGAGTCTAACCCATTTGTTTCCTTAATTTAAATTATAAATTAAATTTTTACTACAATATTATTTCTTATAAAAATTTAAATTTAATTTTTTTATTATAATATTCAGGTAAATTTATTTTTTAACTTTAGTAAAGTTTGTTTTCCGGCGTTTGAGCGGGATGCTCTCCAAGTGCGAACGGTACATGTGAATCAGCGACAGTTATGATATTTCCCGCGTCATAAATTGGATCAGAAACCAGAGGGACCTACCTGGTTCAGTGAAGAGCGTGAGATCACATATTCCTCAATAATATTATTGTATCTATATAATCCAAATAATAATTTATCATCTTTCTACGTCTACTTGTTAGACTAATCAAATCAAAATCAACAAATTTTAGAACACAAAAATTGCCTCGCTGTTATTTTCCCTCAGAAAAAAAAAAAAAACAAAAAAAAACAAAAAGAGAAAAACAAATCAACGTTCATAAAATTACGACATCTGCAAATTGCACCTATTGCTTTTGGTTTTCCAACAAACCAGCCGTTCCATCTCCCAGGTTCTCTCTCTCCATTAAATTCATTCCAAAATTTTTTTAAAAAAGAGACACCATTTCTTCTCTGCTTCAAAACGCCACCGTTTCGCGTTCATCGTCTTCTTCTTCTCCGCTTTTGAAACGCCGTCGTTTCGTCCTCGTCATTTTCTTCTTCTTCTTCTTCACTTTTCTCTCTCAAAAACACACAGAAGAGAGAGGAGGGAGAAAGTAATGGAGACAGAGCCTCTGCTTCCATATCTAAGCCCTAGAAGAAAACCACCGCCATTACCACCACAGCTCTTCCCTCTCCCAGAACACGACGAAATCACCCTCCCGTTGACGCCATCGGAGCTCAAGGACCGCCTCATCTTCGGCCCTTCCTCTTCTCCCCAAGAGTCCTCCCCAATCGTCGACGCCCTAACTCTTTCTCTCTCCTCAAAGCCCTCCTCCTCCTCTTCTCCCTCCGACCGCCCCTCCACTCCCCGCGATTCCGCCCAATCATGGCTTCTCGACCCCAACTACCCTCTCTTCTCCAAAACCAACCTCCACCGCTCCAAAACCGCCCCCGCCATGGCCGTCCTCAACGAAATCCACAACCGCCACGCCGAGCCCAGGCCCCAATTCGTGTCACCATCCATCGTCAGGCAAAGTTTCGTTCTTCTATTGGTTTATTTGTCGTTTGGAGTCTTGATTTACTCGTTCAATAGGGATGATTTCGTCGCCAACGAGACTCACCCTGTCGTTGACGCTCTATACTTTTGTATTGTTACGATGTGCACAATTGGCTACGGTGATATTACTCCGAATAGTACCACCACGAAGGTTTTTTCGATTCTGTTTGTGTTGGTCGGCTTCGGGTTTGTTGATATTCTGCTTAGTGGGATGGTTAGTTATGTGTTGGATTTGCAGGAGAGTTATTTGCTTAGGGGCGTTAAGAAAGATCATGTGGGAGAGAAGAAAGAGCACAAGAATTCTTATATAATTGATTGGAAGAAGGGGAGGATGAGGATTAGGATGAAGGTGGGATTGGCATTGGGGGTGGTGGTGCTTTGCATTGGTTTGGGAGTTGGGGTTATGCATTTTGTCGAGAGGCTTGGGTGGTTGGACTCGTTTTATTTGTCGGTTATGTCGGTTACGACTGTTGGGTACGGTGATCGGGCGTTTAAGTCGATGCCCGGCAGGATTTTTGCCTCCATTTGGCTGCTCGTGTCGACGCTGGCGGTCGCTCGGGCTTTTCTGTACTTGGCCGAGGCGAGGGTGGACAAACGGCATAGGAAGATGGCGAAGTGGATTCTTGGTCAGGACATGACTGTGGCTGAGTTTCTGGCTGCTGATATTGATAATAATGGTTTTGTGAGGTCTGTGCAGGTTTTCTTCTCTTTTGGTTTTGTCACATTTTGAGTTTGGTCATTTTGGTTGTTGTTTGTTTCTCATAAGTTTGATTGCTTGGTTGGTCGTGATTTGATTTGATTTGATTTGATATATATATACATATATATTGAAAAGTATTTTGCATATTTGCTTCCTTTTGTGGTTTAAATTTGAGACGTTTGTGAACAGCATGTGAAGTGTGAAAGTGGAATGTATATTGTATAGGCAATCTTTTTTTCTTCATAGGGAAAATATTCTTCATAAGTCATGTCAGGACGAACAATGAAGTGTGACAGATTTATCGAACTCTTACAGAACATTATGTTTTGGGTTGGAGACATGAATGGTTGGAATTAGCAATTAAATAGTGGAAACAGCTGTTTTATGTTTTTTGCGAACGTAGATAACAGCTAGTTAATTTCATGTTAAAACATTGATAGCCGGATTTCAATCCCAATGTGTCAATTATAAAAATTTTCTTCTCAAAACTATATGTTTGTTCCGAGGGAGAAATAATGCTTCGAATGTGTTTATTACTGATTTATTATTATTATTATTATTATTCCGGACACTGTCAAATAGTTGATGGCTGTTGTTGCATTAGAAGTTCTTGACCTCATTTGCTTTTTCTTTCCTTAGAATCCGTTCGTATTATACTTTTTAGGCTAATTACTATTGTTTTCTTACTATGCAGCAAATCGGAATATGTCATATACAAACTGAAGGAGATGGGAAAGATATCAGAGAAAGATATTATGCTGATCTGCAATAAGTTTGACATGCTAGATACCGGAAACTGTGGAAAGATAACTCTTGCAGATCTAATGGAGACTAATCAAAGTGAAAGTCGAGATTCTGGCATTGTCAGTTCAGCCTAACACTGCAAGCCTGAAAAAAGCGTCATGGTTTTATAAGTTGCTTAAATGAAAAAAAAAAAAAAAAAAAAAATCAATTTACCAATGAAGGTTGGCGGAATCCACACCTGAAATTTATTGCAAATTGTGATTGTTTCTGGAATGGTAAGGCAGCTTTACGGAATGAGAGAATTTTATTATCAAGATTTTGATGATTTTGTACAAAGTTTTGTCGATATAGGGCTCGGATTCATCCTTCTGCAGAGAATTGTTGATAAATCCCCAATATGTTAGTTTGATAGTATTTGCATATTTCTGTCTACGAGTACGTGTGGCTTCTAATGTAAATGACTGTAAATGTTTATAAATTATGGTGAAGCCACTGACTAGATCACGTCTATTCAGGGTTTATTTTATTTTTTATTTTTTGTCTCTTCATCTGCAGGTCCATGCTTTAATCTTCACGTGGACCATATGAATTACTAGAGATCTGCTCATCTTTCATCTTTGTTATTTGCCCCTTTCTTCTTTTTTTCTTTTTTTTTTTAAATATAAGTAAATAAATTCTTCTCTAGTCATTTGGGTGGATAGCGAAATGGCACGTGGTTATTCTCCAGCCAATGAAATACTTTAAATCTTATCATTAAAGGAATCCTATTATCTGCATCCTTTGTACCTTCACTAGATTGTCTCAAACATAAGTTACAAGAATCAGCATTAAACAAAAAATCAATGATAGAAACAAGATCATCACAAAACAGCAGGCGCTGCTATGACTATGAATATGCTTGTACATTGCCAATTAGATGACATGATGATTTATGTGGTGAATATGTCTTCATCTGTTAGAGCAAAAGGCAACTACTTAGGCAGTCCATGGAATATAGATCTGCTGTCTCGTTTGGCTGTCTCTCTACTAAAAATTCGACACCGACACCTGAATAAAATTTTACGCTTTTATCACTCCTAAGAACGCTGTCTACCAAACACTACTTTTCTTAACACTAACAGAAAATTTTGAAAATCCAATTAACACTTGCCTATTGATTGAGGGGTGAAAGTGGCAACCATGGGAAGTACCAATGTTGTTGGCAATGCGAGAGAAGTTAAATAGCAGCAATAATAGGGAGAGAAATCTGATAAATTGGCAGCCTAATTGGCCAGATCCAGCAAGTGATGACAAAATTTCTGTCTTCAGTTCGCTCCCATCTTTCTCTAGTTTTTACACTAAGAAATACTGAAGGCCTGATATTGATTACCTGGTCCAATAGTCACTCAACTCTCAATATTCTATGTGACTAATTCAGAAATATATGTCTATGGAGTCACCTAATAATAGTTTTAGAATTAAATAATTATAACTATAAATATAAAAAAAAAATAATGTTACTAATAATTAATTAAGTGAAATTGAATATTACAGAAAATTGAGGATTTGAGGAAGAAAAGTACAAGATTTGAAGTAAAATAATTTGAATGGGACAATTAGGGGTAACATGAGAAAAATTTTAAACTATAGAGGCCACAATTAAATTTTAGAAAAAAAAAAAAGTACTGGGTGGCAATTAAGAGACAATATATGAATATCCTAAAATATGCAGGCTATTTTTTTTTTTTTTTTAAATTTAAATATGTAGGCCCAGCCCCCCACGGGAGCTCATCCATCCGTCATGTGATAAAACCATGCCTCATGTGATAAAACCATGCCCATACTATGGCATACCTTATTGTACAACGGTACAAGTGACCTATTCCATGACTCAAACTTGGGAGATGATTACAACTTAGATATGATGTTAATTAATAAGAATTTTGACCAACTCCTAAAACAATGGATTCAATTATTTAACTTGTGTTCATTAGTACATACTAAGCCATAACATGATCTTCTAGTTTGGTCGTCTCATCTAGTTCTTAGGGCCTATTTAGAGGTATAAGTTTGGACCGCTCGGTTTTATCCGAAAGGAATTCCAAGAAAGCTAGCAAGACCTTAAATAAGAGAGGTCGGTACACCTTAGTCCTAAGTCAAAAAAGTTTAAGATCGAGCCGGGCCGGGCCTGGGTCAACAATGGTGGGTCTCGGGCCGGCCCATTTAGCCTGGGCCATCTATTTGATATGAATTCTTAAAGGCTATTTTTAGTTTTTTTAAGTCTAAAAATTGCGTCTAAAAATATTTAAATAACGCGTCAGGAGAGATTTGACTCTCTAATAGTAACAAAATATGACTCCTCAAAAAAGTTAGAGCTTGGGTAAGACTTTACAAACTTCTTTGTAATAATTTAATTGCATAGTAGAAAGCTTTAAAATCAGTTTTATCTATAGATCTTTTAAAAACATGATTCAAACACTTACCGGAAAAATAGTTACATGTTTTACTTCTCTTTTTCTTGTGCCTAATGGACCCTACGTTCTCTAAAGTTTTTAGAAAAAAGAAAAAAAAAAATGCTGTGTAAAAGTGGCAACCCTCGGTTAGGGGGAAAGTTCTAAAAATTAACAACTATGATCAACTCAAAAACCAGCAACCTTAACAAGTACTCATCAGGCTGATTTCAAACTGTATTTTTTTGGTAGAAAAAAAAAAAAGGAATGATTCACAAACTTGGCTATCTAGAATTCTAGCAAACGAGGTGAGGCTACTTTTACTACAGAGAAATTGGCATAAGCATCTGTTGATGCTGTCTTAAGATGTTTTTGAACTAGTTGCATGTCGTACATTGAGCATACACTGAGATCACATGTCTCCGGTAAAATTGAAACTTTTGTTGGCACTTTTACAATTAGGTTGCAATAGTTTCACTTTCATATTTGAGACACATCATGTCCCAACAGCCATTCGAAAATTATACTTGCTTAGCATACAAGCATTTTGGTAGAGCTATGTTTGCTGCTAATTGACAATGCAAAGGTTGTGACTTCTGTTAATAAGACTTATTTATTTTTAGCATGAAGGAGAACCATGTTCATTTTTTTCCGTTCCACATTTGTTCTATAAATTTCAATTAGCATATAGTAGGATTTAGGAACCATTCTGGTCTTTATAGAAAATAAGGAAGGTAAGAATAACAAATCGGTCAATTTGTACTGTTAGAACCAGTTATGTGTTTTTACCGTGTTTTCTTATAATATTGATTAAGGATTACCAAAGCAAAACACAAAAGCAGAGTAAATACCACACAACGATTAAACGTGGTTCAGTCAAACCGACCTACATCTACGGGGTCACGCCCAGACATCAAGCAATCCACTAATAGGTACAAAGTTACAGACACCAATCGGACTTAACCAACCCAAGACTCCCTCTTGACTATCAACGCCGCTGTGTCTAACACCCTAAGTGGCTAGCTTGGCGAGCACCACTCGTCTTCAAACGCCTTCTCCCGAAAGCTCACAAAATCTTCTCTCAAAGAACAAAATCGATGAACGCTATATCTCTTCAACTTGTGCACTCCGTACTTTATCAGAATTGCAGTCCATGAGTAGATTCCTCGTGCAGCAACATTTTATAAACTGATCTTAATTCAAAACCAGAATCTGTCTCAGAATCTGTAGTTACAGATAAGACAGTTATCAGTTTAAAATTCAAAGCACGTAATCTACTTCGCATATTCCAGTTTCAGTTTTCTTGACCCAGATTCTCAGCACTCCAATCTCGTTCTAGATGATATCTTGATCTTCAAAACAAATTCATCATGAAATACGGTTTTGAATAAACCTCTTATTCAAACTAAAACAAAATCTATAACAGATATTTGTCTCAATTTCAAATCCTGGTTTAAATCAAAATAGCAACACAATCTTGATCTTCTTCACGAAATCCTCAGAGCCATATCTTAATTCAAAACGGTGAGGCTGATTTCTTCTATTTGAACGAACCCAACGAATTCGAGAAACTAACTCCAGATTTTATCAAAACGCACAACATTACTTAAGTAACCAAACGACTCAAACAAATGTTGTACGACATTTCTTGACACTTTCAAAATAAGCAATCCAAACATGAAGCCCAACTAAGCCAACCAAAGCCTAAAACATACAAAGAGAGTCAAAACGACTCACACGACTCAACAATCTCTCCCTTTGGCTTAGTTTGGCAAAGTTACACAACTATACCCAAGAGTACTCAAAGCAAAGAAAGTGTTCAAGAAAATTACTAACTAATTAACCACGAAGAAACACATTATTCTCCCCCTAAGTTTGGCAAACAAAAAGCCAAAGTCCAAAATAAAACTGAAATTATTGGAATCGAAAATTACAAACTGAAGAATAGATCAAACCGGAGGATCAACAGCCGAGGAAAAGGGCATAGACGATGAGGAAAGAAGTTGTGCCATTTGACTCCGCATATCAGATTTTCTAACCCAAATTTTTCTTGTTTTTCTATCATTAGGTGGATAAAACTGCATTCCTCTATTCAAGGCATTTTGATACTTATAACACCAAGGCCTTATGTGGCAGTAATGACAGATAGGAACAAAATGCTTCTGCTTGCGTTTTGTAGCTACAGAATTTGTGACAGATTTCATACCTGACCGTACCTTAGTATTCTGCTCATGGCTGACATCTGACTTGTTTGTGGCCTTTACGAATGCCGATTTTGTACCAGAACTCTCACCAATGTAACCAAGACCAGTGTGATCGCTACTTGTTCTTTGTTGAGATAAGAGATGGTCCAATTTAGTCGTTCTAGAGTTCAGCAACTTTAGGTTTCTTTGAGTTCGCTCTAACTCCAGTCTTATTTTTGCAAGATCCCTTTTATTCTTTGCAGCCTCATACTCATATTTGGTCATTATGGCCTGGAGTTCTTCCTTTTCCTTGTTAAGGCTTTTAACCTGCTCTTCTAAGGAAATATTGACCTTGCAAACCACTGTCCACTTAGAATACATTTTTTCATATGCTTTCTGGACCTCTTCAGTATCAATGTCTTCCTCCTCACTGTCTGTATCAGTATCAGATCAGATTCTGCAGAAACATCCTTCATGCTTATTTCTATACCTACAGATTCTGGTACAGATGCATCCTTGCTGGTGGTTCTTTCGTCTGAAAGGACTGTAGTCACGTTGAATGCAACAAAATTACTGCTGTGCTCTTCATCCTCATCTTGACTTGCATTGGAACTTTCATCATCACTCCATGTGGACTTCATGGCCTTATTCTTCTTTTTCTTCAAGGTGTTTGCACACTCCGCTTGTATATGACCATATCCATCACACTCTCTGCATTGAATTCCTCTTCCCTTCTTATCTGAGTCAGTTTGTTTTGAACCCTGAGAATTAAATCTCTGCTTCCCAGTCTTAGAGAATTCTTTGAAATTTCCCCTCTTTTTCATCTTCTTCAAAATCTTCTTGAAGTTTTTTGTGAGACGTGCCAGAGATTCTTCTAGTTCTCCTTCATCTTCAGATTCCTCTTGATTGCTCTGTGATT